AAGTAACTGTCCTGTTTCCGAAGCAAAACAGAACAAAAACAAAACTCTGAAGTGAGACTTCTCTTTGGGGATCTGCTCAATGTTCAGTTGCTAAGAATGCCAGCAGTCCCTGTGTGTGACATCAGAACACAAGGGTGCTAGAGAAAGGTGAGCTTCTGCCTGTTATAGAGGCCTCTCCCACCCCGATCCTGGAATGTTTAGAAACTGGGCTGGAGTTAACACAGAACAGGGGTGACGGCAGAAACAGCCCCCATCTGCAGTGAGGATAAGAAGTTGCTCCTAGTACACTTAACCCAAGTAAGAGCCTCACGTTTACTGTCAAACTGCATCCTGCTGCAACAAAAGCCACCATTTAGAAAAGGTGAACACATTTAGGAAGCTGAACCCTTCTTTAAACCCAGAGTAGACACACACAATAGAAGCAAATCTGCAAGGTATACCAGAAGAGCCCATTTAAGAAACTATTTTAATAGATGGGTTTTCTCCCAAATCCTCTGCCATCCATGGATAGTGATAGTTTCTGAAGGGACTGTGTCCCCTGCTTTTCAAGGTTTGACAACCTGCTCTCCACATAATTAAACACAGCCAACTTCCTATTCAAAAATCACTAGAAAACACACTAAAAGGGGACTGCTATTGATTCCCTATTGAAATATCAGTTAGTTACCTAACCTTTCTTCATGAAATGATTAACATCCTTTCAACAAGCAAGACACATCAGTTACCATCAAAACGAGATTTCCTCGACCGGTGGCAAGGTGCAGCTCCATGTCCCATCTCCTATCACCTCACCTCATCCTTCCAATATGTTTCCAGTCTAGTCATCTAAAGGGTCACTCAACTTGGTGGTGGACACACCCCAGTGCTGAAGTTTAGCCTGCTGGAGAAGTTTTTTAAGTACATAAAGGTCTACACAGAAGCAAATGAACTCTGTGTAATATAATTATCCAAAATGGTAATAGAACCCAGCGCCAACCTAACTGTAAAGTCCCTAACAGTAAGAACAGTTTGGGGCTGTTATTAAAATGAGGCCACACCCAGAATTAAAATGCAAATTAAAAAAATGGTGAGGGAAATTTGGGTAACTTCAAAAGGCCCATTACAAACACAGACCCCACCTCCACCCAAATGTCAGGATAACCTTCATTTAGATAACTCTTTGATCTGAATAGGGAGATCTTCAGCTGAAGATCTGAATATCTACACCGGCCTCCTCAGCGCTTCATCTTTCTTTATCTCATAATCTTGGAGGAGGCATTCTTGTCAGGATTCTGCTTCTTTATTTGTGTGGCATTCTTGGCTAGGCTCTTTCCATCAGTATCTATGCATGTCCCATCACACACTCAGACAATCTCCCAAAATGCTCAGGGAATGCACAATACTTGTGCCAGCAGGTTCACCTAAGAAGTAGACAGCTTAGATTTTGTAATCAAAACGGAATCGTGAGAGAAAAGAGAAGATTCCACAATGCCATTTGACAGGAACCATCAGCCATAAGGTGACCACACCACTCAGCAAACACGGAGGGAGACAAGTCACAAAGGAAAGCATCTGATGCTTGGTAGAAGCTAATGATGCTCCAGAATGTTCCTTCCACTGGGTTCAATCCTGAGACTCTTGTGTGTGTCTCCAAGCAATGTTTCTTTCTGTGCTTGGCTGTAAAGGGGAGCTTGCCCGCCTTGTTAAGCTCTCACAGTGGCCAAGCGATGCAAACCCTCCCACTGGGTGGTTGGAGGCACTTCTGTGACTCTGAGCACTGAGGCAACCAGCTTTCTCCCCTCTCTGTCTTCTGCAGGTGAGACTTCAGAGGAGGCTTTCCTCGAGCACAAAGCCCGGCCCAGATGTGATGGGCTGGCTCTGTGCCCACCTCTGCGCTTCAACTACAACTCTGCTCAGATTCAAATACTCATGTTTGGTTAAAAACAATTGATTTCTCACTCTAAATACAAATTCAAAGAATAATAAATAACACAGGACCAGGCCTCAAAGTAAAATAAACCAACAGAAATGGCCACGAGGCGTCACTGCCTGCCTCCAGGGACAGCTATCACCTAGGACCATGGATCTCAGTTCTGTGGGCATCAGAACTCCAGAAGAAATTTTGTTGTAAGTGGACTCTACTTGCTAGTCACCAAAAATTCAGATTCGAGGGCTGAGCCGATGGCCCGTGGCCAAGAATGCTTGCCACATAAACACAAGGACCTGAGTTTAGAGCCAGAACCCAGGTAAAAGCCGGGCGTGGCTGCATACACCTGTAACTGGAGCTCTGTGATAGGGAGACACAGAGAGAGACCCTGGAGCTTGCTGGCCAGGCAGTCTACCTGAAAAACAGCCAACTCCAGGGTCAGGAAGAAACCCTATCACAAGAAAATAAGGCAGAAAGTGATAGACAGAGCAGAATACCTGGCTTTCTCTTGTCTCGGTGCACACTGGTGCACAATTACACACATACACTCAGAGTTCTGATTCAAGAATGTGTATTTTAACAATCATCCTACCCATATGTATTCTTAATTTCATCCTCACTCATCATGCCTCACCCCCAATGTGAGTGAGCAGAGAATCTCACTTTGAAACATCCCAATTAAGACCGCCTGCAAACTCCCCACCTCTAACAAGAGCATCTATCTACCTGGATCCCTGTGTTCACCTGGAGGGAAGGCAGGGCTCCAGCAAAACACCTCTCGGAGCGCTCTACTCACTGACCTAAAACAGTAAAGCAAGCCCCTGGTGCTGAAGTGCTAAGCTCAGAGATAGCCCTGCCTCACCTAACTCACAGGAGTCTGGAAAACACAGAAAAGCGAAGGCTGAAATGTACGTGTGAGGGAGAAAGACATCTTGGGAATTCACACTAAGTTTGATGCTGGAAATATAACGGAGCATTCTAGTCATCAAGCAAATCATGAGATTAGCAAAAATCAGAGAACCTGACAAAATGTCACTGTCCACCCGACTTACTGGTAATAAACAAACATGTATCCAAATATAAAATTCAGAAGAAAATCCCCATTTTAAACTAAGAGAACCTAATCTAAAATATACACAGGGACCCATCGGTGACCTGCTCTCACCTTCTGGCTGGCTCCTCTGAAAGACATGCTAGCCTTTAACATCTTCAAACAGATATAATCAAACAGGAGGACACACTTTCCAGGCAGTGGCCCCTCTACCTCAGCTACCGAATTCACAGCAATACGAGAAAATAAACTCATCACGGAAGGAAGTGAGGAAGGACTGGAGTAGAAACAGAACTCTGGAACACAACTGTGTGTGTATTCATATGCCTTTAAAAAACTATTTTATTAAAACTATGATTTAGAAAGAAAGTGCAATTAGCTCAGGACAGGCACTGCTGAGAAGCTCCGAACACACCAGACATATGTAAATATTTCACGGTATCAGTTCCGTTTGAGTAGACCTGTCAGGATATTTACAGGGCTTGACAGTACTTCGGTCTTTAATTAAAATTTTGCCCAGATACTTTAATGTAATTTAAATAGATTATTAGTTGTCAGGATCTAATATAAATTTTGTTTACGATTTAGTTACTTTAAGTACTGGGATTGAGGAAACTAATTTAACCCAACAACTGAGTGCTTGGAAGAGCAAGATCAAACCAACAGAAAGCCCCCAGTGCCCTCTGCACTCAGACAGCCTTAAATTACTACAGCGTCACTGTAAAGGCACCAAGTGACAAGAGCCTCCCCCAGTGCCCACACCAGTGCTTTTGTGAAACAGAAAGATGGGGGGGGGGGTAGGTGTCGTAAAGGCATCTGCACCTGTTCAGGTAGCAGGCCCTCCCTCACACATAGCTCTTTCTTCTCCTGACTGCCTAAGAAATACTTTTCTCACTTTCAGAACCACACACTAACAACCGAACGAGCACCTGTTGTGTTCAAGAGGCAATGCATACATTGAAAACGGGTGTCAGGGGACCCCAGGAAGCAAAACAAGCCCCAGAGAGATGTTTCCAAGCCAGCCTGGGCTGACATACCTCACATGAGTAAAACTGGAGAAAAGAACACAGCTTCCGGCACCTTCTCATGAATGGGAGCTGCCTTCTACACCAGGTTTGAACAACGCCTTCCCACAAAACTGACAGTAATTAATAAGAATAATTTACTAAAGAAACAAAGAAAGCTGTCTAATTGTCTTTCCTAACTGCCATGCACTTGACCTCTACGTATTTCCTCTCTGCAGAACACCAGGCTGGAGGCGACAGAGCAAGGACATCACCAGAGGAAGCCAAAGCAAAGCATTTCTTAAAATCAGATGTTCCTTACGTTTATTTTGAGGTTGGGGACACAAGCCAAGTCTGCTTTCCCTCCATTAACCCTGTGGTCCCATGCACACTGAGATAAAGAATCTCCTAGGGAGGGAAGGGGTTAACTGGCATGCGGAAGGCATCTGAATTGGGCCAGGTTGGCCCCTATTTTAAGAAGTCATCTCATATCACAGCCTGCTGTTGCACCAGCTTTTGGCATCTCCAACTTTAATTCATCCAAGTGTCAAGCATGAGAAGTAATTTTCAAAATCCATTTGAAGATGGCCCCTTGCATACCAGGCCTGGCCTATGGCTAAGTGGCCTGCAGATGAAGGTAACAAGTCAAGGGGAAGACCACTGGGAAAACATGCAAACCTTTCTGACTGGATTCTCTCACAAGCTCTGTGTTTGATCACCTGGTGGCATTTACTGGGGAAAAAAAATCCCTGCAAATAACAAATGTATATACAAAACCTCATGTATGGATTCACCTGCTCTGTCATCAAGTGCCTTTCTTGGATATATTTTCTCTAGACAATTCCCTGCTTAGGGCTTTTATTTATATTCTAGATTTTAAAACACGCTTTAAGACACTGGCCAGTATTGCTTACTTAGCAAAAATGGCCTTCACTGAAATGTATATAAGGGATATTATATCTAACAGGATAAAAGAGGAAGGAAAAAGTGCCCAGAAAAAAAAAAAAACTGTCTTAAATAAAAATAGCACCTGTGTAAACGAAGCTAAGCTCTGGAAACCCTTTCTGAAACCTGCAGAAACAGCCCATACTCGATGCCTTGAAGTTGCAATTAAATTGTAGTAATTTAAGATTATCAAGAGAGCAAAGGGCAGCTGGAGGCCTTTGCAGAGCTCCCCTCCCTACTTAATGCTCTGCACTCAGGGGTTAAATGAGTTTCTTTAATGTAAGTACCTTAAAGTAACCAAATCATAAACAAAATTTATACTATTTTCTGTCAGCCTGCAATCTATTGAAATTTGATTAACGTGTACCTAAAATTATTTTTAAAAGGCAAAACTCTGGCTATCCCCGTAAATACTCTTGCAATAGCCATTGAAATGGGATTGGACCTCTAGCACCTACACTTGTCAGAATACAGTGTGTGTGTGTCTGTGTGTGTCTGTGTCTGTGTGTGTGTGTGTGTGTGTGTGTGTGTGTGTGTGTGTGAGAGAGAGAGAGAGAGAGAGAGAGAGAGAGAGAAGATGAAGGTACAAAATTAAGTTTGAGTCAAGTAAACTGTGAAAATCAAATAAAAATGCATACAATAGGAATGGCTGCAAAGCGGAAGCCGGGCTGAAAGAGGCTGTCAAATGTTCTATCCCCTCCCTTCTCTTTCCTAACTCTGGGACTGGTCAGGCTGTAGTAAAATATATTTGTTTGGGAAATAGCCCAGTTCTTCTGTCCATTTCAACAACTGCTGCAAACATACCACCCTTCCACAGAGCCTAAGAATGCAAATGTACAAAGTCAGGGGTCTAGAGAGAAGCAAGGAAAACCTTAGTCACAGGCAAAATAAAAATGCTTAGGCCCAATATTAACTCGATTAACTTCTGCTATTGTTGGTACAAATGATTTTACTAGAAAATATTTACAGCTTTTTAAAAACATGATACACTGCAGAAAATTGCCTAACAGCATCCATGTGTATGTTTAACCCACATTGCTTAATTATACAATAAAGGTATACCCAATAAAAGCGTCAGACTTTGAAACATGTTGTGTACCATGGTTATGAAACTCTAGCTTATTAAAAAAAACAAAGTAGTCACTATGTGACAGGCACTAGTTAATTAAAAATACAAGCCTTAAATGACAATGATTTTTATTCTTCTGTATATGTTTACTTATCCTATTTCCTACTTTGTCCTACTTAATTAAAGATGACATTTAATTTGGAGATAGTTTCTAACTGGAAAAAAGTGTTACATAGTTTACACTTCAGGATTGAAATATAAACATAGTATCTTGAAGACATCTCCAGCAATGTAAACCCCTTCATTAGACACAGTTTCTTTGAATAGTTGATAGTTCATTCGGTTTACTTTGATAAACCTTTGAAAATAAAATGCTAAAGTAATTACTGTTACTACTTTCCTTAAAAATGTAAAGTAGTTAAAATTTCCTAGACAACAAGGGAGGCCAAGTTACAAAGAACCTGAATAAAGTAGCAGCTGGTCATACTGAATGTCAATCAAAAAAAAAGAGGTCATGTGTAATCTAGAGAAGGCTCTCTCCTCTTTTTAAATTCCAAGAGTGGGCTTCAGCACTTGGGTTTCTTCTTTTCTCGTTTTTAACTACACGGCAGATTTAAACCCTCACATATAAAACCCTGGCTTCCCTGAGAAAGCAAAGCTTCTAAGCTGGATGTGAGAAAATGTTATCTAACTGGTGTGGGAGTCTAATGTTGGTAAAAAGAATTCCACGGTGAGGTTCTGGTTAGCCAGCAAGACAGAATTCAGATGACTTAATATTCTTTGGATACCTTTTGGGGTGCACTCTTCTAAAAAAAAAGAAATGTATTACAAAATAGTAACTTGTTTAGCAATTCAGCATCCATAGGAACTCACATGCAGCCCAGAGGCTGGGTATTTCCTTCCAAGTGAGGCTTCACTTGCACAATAAAGATAAGCACTTGCAATGGTCCATTTCTGCATAAGTGAACACGCAGCCTTGCTGGGCTCTCCCTTAGAGCAGTCCCTGACAAGAGCCCAGCAGCAGCCCTGTTTGATCTCCCCTGCTTCCTTAATTTGGGTTGTCAAGGTTCAGCAGTTGGAGGCTGTTTACTTTACTTTTCAAAAAAAAGAAGAAAAAAGAAAGAAAGAAAAAAAGTGATTTCCCCCCCCATTACAATGACTAATCCAAAATGGGGTGGGGGGCAGGGGAGCTGCAGCCACTGGCAAGAGGCTAAACCTTTCCCCCTCTGCACTAAGATCTTAGCTGACACTTTCTGAATGGTAAGTGGTTGAATTTCATTTATACCTTTAGTGCTCTTTAATTATGAGACATTTGAAAAAATGGGGGGGGTGTGCAAACCCATTTCAATATTTTTTTTAATATGAGCTCAGTTTTTTTTTTTTTTTCCAGACTCAAAAGAAGTGGCTAATTCAAAAATCAAAACTAGAATGGAATTCTTGAAAATGACCTGAAAATAGAAATGAGCAGGGACTCAGCTGCCTCCATTAAGCAAACAACCCCTGGATAGAAAACACCTCAAGTCTTACCGGCCCCCATCCAAACCAAGCTAGCCCCAAAACTGATTCTCACTGTGAAAAATAAAATAAAATAAGAGTGCAAAACATTTTCAGGAACAGAAAAAAATTCCTTAGATATCCTTGGGTGTTTTTCTCAGCTCGGATATTTTGCAAGTTCTTCCAGGCTACAGCCCAAGGAAGGTGAAGCGCATAGGACTTCAACGGGTACACTCCTCAACCGCAATCCAAAATGTTCCCGCAGCCTTCTGGCTTAAAGAGCAGAGACTTTAAAGTAAGAAATCTGAACTTGGAAAATACCTGGAGACTGCCGTAAGAGCAACCCTGGGCCCTCAGCAGTGCGCTGGGTAAGCTCAAATGAACTGTTCATAGTAATTTCATTATTCTACTTAAACCACCCAGATGAAAGGGCTGGGGGTGGGGTGGGGGGAGAAGCTTCATTTTGGGTCCTCTAGTCAAGCAATAAGAAAATAAATTAAGAGGAAAGCGCAGGATGAGCCTAACCTAAATCAATACACTCTGAAATCAGCCCAGCTAGGGTATTGGACACAATGGCTTGGAAATAATTAATAGTTATAAGGGGGGAGCGGGCTGAGAAGGAGAGCAAGAGATGTCACATTTTACACTTCACATTCCACGCTAACTTTGATCTCCAGATTTTCGGATTCAGGGAAGAAAGTGAGAGAAAAGGAAGAAAGCAGGTTCCGTATTTGCTAGCACCTACCAGCCTGATGGACACATACCTTGCTCCCTGCGCCTGATCACAACGATCTGGTTGCCCAGGCTAGCTGGTACAGAGCCCCGGCTTCCCCGCTTCCCCCCGCCCGCGCGCCTGCCACGGCCGCCTCGACTTACCCACCGAGTCCAGGGAGGAGGCGCCGGCAGCTCCACGCTTCTCCGCGCCGCCGCCGCTGCCCCTCTCCCGTTCGTTCGCCCGCCGTGCGCCGTCCTCCTGGGGCAAACTTTCTGGGTCTGCGATCGACAAGAGACCGGGAAGACCCTCAGCAAGTCTTCCTTCCGTGAAGGTTTCGGGGTGGGGGGAGATCGAAGGGGACGAGGTGATTAGGCGGAAGGGGCCAGGACCACAGACAGAGATGGCAACCGGACGGAGAAGACCCCCGAGCGCGCGGGGACAGGGGAGGAGGATGCGCCGCGGGGAATCCCTGCAGGGATCCGGAGACCCGGAGCGCGGCCTGAGCCTTAGTCTCAGCACCTTCCCGGGATCTTACAAAGTTGCAACAACAAAAAAGGAGGGGCAGGACCGGGGGAAAGGGGTGGGATAGGGCTGCGATGGCAGGCGCAAGGTTTGGAGTTACAACTGTTTATTTAGTCCTTAGGCTCCCAGGGGGCGGGAGCTGCGCGGGAATGGGGGTGCTGCAGGCAGCAATTTCCAAGCAAACACGGGGAGGGGGGGCATGCGACTTTGTTTCTGGGCGCGGAGCTCCCTGGCGCCCGTGTGTGTCACCGCCAGTCTCCGGGGACTGAGGCGGAGCTCACAACAGGTGGGGAGGGGGACAAGGAATCAAAGTTTCCGAGAGCGGCAGGGGGGTTGGGGGGGTGGGGGGAGCGGGAGGCGGGGGCGAGGGGAGGCGGAGGCAGCAGATGACCACGACCCTGCGGCAGCTGGCAAACTCCTCGGCTCCCGGCGCCGCCGCCACCGCCTCGGTCCCCACCCGAAGCGCGCGCCGCCTGGTCTCGTCGGCTTCGGAGAGACGTCTCCGAGGGACAGGAACCGAGCGCCGAGAGCACGGGAGGAAAGCTGCGCGCAGGCGAGAAACGGAGAGCCATCGGTGGCCGGGACAGGGCCGGAGGGACGCGGTCGCACGCGCGTGTCGCAGGGCAGATCCCTGAGCTTAAGAGGCACAGGAGTCAGAAGCGAAAGTGTATGGTGGCGGGAGGGTCCAGAGTACGGGCGCCGAGGGTCCTCGAGGCATGCCCTGTCCCCATGCCCACCCGCGATCTGGCTACGGCTGGCGCGGGCGCCGTCTCTGACAAGCGGGGGCCGAACGCGCGTGGGGTGCGTGTCTGGCAGAGGGTGCGCGGGTGTGTGTATGAGTTTTCCAGGCTCCCAGGGGTTAGCTACAGAGCGTCCACACCGCTGACTTCTGACCAAAACACGCGTGGCTACAGGGATGTCGCCAAGCACCGGGTCCAGGGCGCAGGCGTCCCTGCTCAGCCATCCAGCGTTCGCCGGGCAGCCTGGGGTACAGAAGGGGCACGCACTCTTGGATAGCAGGGTAAAAGTTTGCTCCAAGTTCAAACTTTGAGCTCAGGAGAGGATGCCGCACGCCCCCGCCAACCGGGACCAGGTCCCGGGTACCCGCACCAGGCGGCCACCAAACGCTGACGCTGGGTACTCAAAGTTGCGACGGGCGGCCTGGGCTTATTGATCGCTCTACCCGAGCGGCTAGAGCGAGCGCAGAGGAGCGAGGGGCCAAGGGGGAGGCGAGCTCGTCCGTGAGGCCACCATCGCACCCCACAGTGACTTATGCAAATGAACCCAAGGGTGCGGGCGCCTCCCGCGCTTCCTCCAGCCCAGCGCCCGCGCGCGGCCCCCACCCACGCAGAGCCTGGGCCCCGACTCCGGAGCGAGTCGAGAACCGAGGGTTGGGGGAGATGCACGTGGAGCCTGGAGGTAAAAAGTAGGAATTTTTTTTCTTTTTCTTTTTTTTTCTTTTTTTTTTTTTCCTTTTTTTTTTGTGCTGGTTGTTGTTGTTGTTTAAAGTGGCGGAAACAAGGCAGGAGGCGGCTTGGGAAAAAAAAAAAGTGGAGCAGAAATGGAAAAATACGAACTCACCCGCGGCAAATGGTCTCTCGGTGCAAACTAAGGTGTTTTCGGGGCCTTTCCCCGCGCGCGCCCACTCCCGCCCGCGCGCGCCCCCCGCTCACACACTCAGCCGCGCACACGCGCGCACACACACACGCACTCGCGGGCGAGGGCCGGGCCGCGAGCACAGCGTGCAGCTGCCACACAATAAATAACAATAGATTCCTCCGCTTGGGACTCGTTCCCGAGCCGCGCCAGCGTTGCAGCCGCGAGGCGCCCCCAACCCGCCCCAGTCCCACGCTGGGCCCAAGCCCCGCCACACGCACTCTCGAGACCCCCGCGACCCCCCGAGAGCCACCCACACCTCCATACGGCGCCCTTGGGTCGCCTGCCCCCTCCCCCCCCACAGCCCGGAACAAATAAATAAATAAGGCGCGCGCGAGAGGCCATCGCGTCGCGGAGGGAGATGTTGTTATTTTTTGCTGTTGTGCGTCCCTGACGTCACATCCACCTGCTGGGTAAACAACAGGGCTCGCAGAAGGAAAAAAAAAAAAAATTGCAATTGCCAAGTGAGGGACCTGGGGAGGGGAAGAAGAGAGGGAGGCAGAGCCCCCAAACCCGGGACGGAACGCCACAACAGTTTCCAGGCAAAGGGAGACTGGATGAAAGAGCTGGAAAAAGAGGGGCCTGGGGCAGGGGGGTCCCCTCAGAAGAGGGGGAGAGGGACCCATTCAGAACCAGGGAAATGGAAAGGAGGAGTGTCAGCAACTAGGGACGCAGAGGGGAATGCCAGGGCAATTCGCTCAGCTCTGAGCTAAAAAATCCAGGAGGGGAAAGGACAGGCGGGGATGGAGTTTCCTCCAGTTAAAAGTGAAAGTGCTTCGCCTGGGTGACAGTTGGAGCGGAGGGCGGCAGGGGCGGCGTTCCAGCCCCGCGCCTGCTCTTGGGTCCTCCCTCGGTCTCTCCCCTTTCTTTCTGCACTTTGTCCAATGAAAGAAGGCGAGTTCGGAAGGTGAAAGTTCAGCTGAAGGACAAACCCCTGATTGCGAGGAAACAGAAACCCCTCCAGCCAGGGGGATTTTCCCCTGCATCGCGGAATCGGGAGAGAGTGAGGAGAGCAAGAACTTACTCCCTCAGGCCTTGTCAGCCTCTGCAGGAATGTTGTCCACTTGGGGGAAAGTGGCTGCGAGCAGAACTGTGTTTTCGCCACAGTTCCTCTTAAGAAAACACCCGGGGGCTAGCATGTCAATCACTTGTTTAACACAGATTACCTGCTCTCTCGAACATCAGTCATGTGAGAGAAAAAAAGCTTTGTGCAATTCTTTGGGAAGGTGAGATTTTTGTGTTCTTTTTGCTGCTCTGAAGTTTGGTTGAGTATGTCAATTTAAATAAGTATCCGACGAGCCCAGATGAAATGTTTTTGAAATAAAAATACATAAGACAAAAAGCACTTTTATCAACATAAACAGGGAAGCTGATTTCGCATTTCCAACAGGGACTTAGAAACAGGACCTCTGTGGCTTCTAGTTGAACAGAAATTATTTTGGGGTTCCCCCAAAGCGCTTAGGGAGCTGAGGTGTGCTTACCGCGGTTTGCATCTTGAGACTAACACAGATGTAAATAATACCCTGGCTCAATTATAATAGATTCTCTTGGATAATGTGTTTTGACAAATATTAAATGTTCATTTGCAGAATTTAAATCGAAATTGAAATGAGAAGGTGAGGATATCGTTTAAATTTATATCCTATGTTCGGGAAAGTAAAATAATTGACAACAAAACCATTCACTGGTATCGCCAGAGAAAAGTAGTATGCCGAGTAAAAAAGCCCAGTGGAATCCATACTGTCAACACTCCATGTCAAGCACACAAGACCAGCCACCTCATTTTTTTTATATACTAGGAACTACATACATGAAGTGGATTTTGCATTCTATAAAAGGTCCATGTTTTCTTTGTTAGGACATTAATACATGTTCTATAATATTCTATAAACTTACATACATAGTAAGTTCCTGCCTTCCCGACTCACAGGCCACTGCAGACAGTGGTAACATCTAATATTTATTGAATGTTTGCTATGGCCTAGGCTATAAACTAAAAGGTTTGTGACAAGTTAGTTGATAGTCTCACAAAACCTTGGACATCGCTGGAAAGTCCATATTTGGAATTCACATGGAATTAAATAGGAATCTTTGGGGAAAAACACTGTTTTTAATTTCTATGATGGTCCTGCCAAATATAACTTATTTATGGTATGTAGCTGGTTGTACAATTGTAACTCCGGGAAAACAGCCGTTTATTTAAATATGACATCTCTGTGCATAGTCCATAAAGAACAATTTCTATTGTGATCTTGTTTATCAGACTCAACCATGGCTTGTGTTTTTTTTGTGGGTTTTTTTCCCCAATTATAACCATACCAGCAATGAAATCCTTAGCTTGCTACTGATCTTGGTCTGAATTTTAAATGTCTTAAATTCTACCTTCTCTTACAAGAAGAGGCTAAAGACAGATTGGCAACACGTTTTGCAGACAAAAGGAAATCCTGGCTGTAAATCCCATGATATATGGCACTGTTTTGGGATATGATATTGTCTGATGTGCAGGCTTATTGGAGACCCCACACCCCTTTGGTTTATGTTACAGGAGCACTTGACTATGGCTTAACACATTGTCCATTCTGAACACTGTCACATCACGTTCACAGGGAACAGGTTTCTAATTTCTTTATCAGTAATCAACTGGAAGTTTCTTTTTGTTAAATTAAAGCAAGAAGGATTTTGTGTGGGTTTTTTTTTTTTTTTTTTTTTTTAAATAAAGGGCATGGGGGTAGGACGCCACCTTTTGGTGATAAAACAAATAGAAATCCCTTTTTAGACCTGCTGCTGACATCATTTTAGTTTTAATTACACCAAGGCAAGGGTGCTTGTCCTCATTTCCTTATATATTAAGTAGGGGAGGGTGTGTGCAATTAGCTGATTAAAGTTAACCAAAGCCAGTGTTTCCCTAGAGGGATCAGTATGTGTCCCTGCCCTGCCACATACTATTAAACCAAACATCGAATCCATTCTCTAAATACTGTGCAAATGCACATATCCACAGTTTGGGAAAAGGAAGGAGACTGGACATTTGCCACTTAATGAGATGCTAAATGTTCTGGTAAGTTTACAGTTAAAAAATAAAACAGAACCACAAGATTTAGTGTTTGTACATTCCTGAATTTGCTATAATTCATGAATAACATACTGAACTCATGGGAGTGCAGCTATTACGCCAATTGTCATAAATATTTTCAACTATTTCTTGATTTTTCTGTTACGTTATATGGGAAACCTGTATCTCTCCCCCTAAGTTAAATATAAGCACCGTGGAAAGAAAGTCACCAATTGCTCTTTGTAAATGTTTCAAAGGAAAAATGAAAACGTGAACTTCAAAAGAGAATATGTGACAAGTGTGTTGAGCTGTCATCACTGAAAATCCAGCCCCACCCCTTTTGACAATCTGAAGGAGGGGATAGTGACTGGAAGGGAATATGATTGTCAATATGCTATGCAAGTTGATGTTAGCACTCCCACAGTGGGAAAGGGGTGTGCGCATCCCAGCACCACCAACTGTAGGTGGGCAGGGCAGGCCAGGGCATGGAAGCCATTCTCCAGGGCCAAATAACTGGCAGTGGTCTTGGGCAGGTTAGAAGCCAGACACCTCTTAGGTGTCTCTCTGCCTGAAAAGCCCACCTAGCAAAAGTACCAAGTCACTGTACATTAAGCAGATGTCCTGGTACCCCACAAACATCCACCCTCAATATCCTTTTACAGATGGTGGAGAAACTGAGGCCTCAGTGAGTCCTGTTCAAGTCTAGCCTCTGCAGCCTTTCTCTGAGCGAGGGTAAACAGCCAAGAGGAGAGATGAAGCATGTATGGACTATTCTCCTAAGGCCCAAACTGTTTCCTTCCGAGATGAAACTGGCTGGCGAGCAGCATGTGCTACACTGTGAGTGAACAGAGAGGAGCCACTCTGTGCCTGGATGGCCCAGACAGTCCATATACACCACAGCAGGAGAGGTCTTGTTTACCATATGTAGCATTACTAGGCGAAGAGAAGACAGTCCAGGACCCAGGAAAGTGAGCCAGGGAATGTAATGGACCCTGCTTCACAGGGGTGTTCCCTACAACTAGCTGAAGAGGTTCAGCTTTTCACCTGGTGATAATAGTGCTGCCTCCTCTGGTGGTCCAACATAAGGGACCACACACACACACACACACACACACACACACACACACACACACACACACACGAAGAGAGTCTGTGTGTGTGTGTGTGTGTGTGTGTGTGTGTGTGTGTGTGTGTGTGTGTGTGTGTGTATACATGCATGCAGAGGCCAGAGGTCAACCTCTGGTCATCTTCCTCAGAAGGTTTTTGAAGCAGGATCTCTCATTGGCCTTTATATCACCACATAGGCGAGGTTAGCTGGCCAGTGAGCCCCAGGTATCCATCTGTCTCCACCTCCCCAGTGCTGAGATATGTGTGTAGCATCATAACCCAGCTTGGGGGCAGAGGGTGGATATATAGTGCATGAACCTGTGCTTGAGGGTGGATAGGCTCATGATCATTCATGTGGAAGCCAGAGTTGGTTGTCTACCTCTGACACGAACGAATGAATGAAACACATTCTCTCATTGAATCAGAAGCCCAACTTCACCCCCCAAGCCCTTGCCTCTGCTTCAGTTAGAGTGGTTGTCTAACCAGCTCTCTAGTCTCTGCCCCCTAGGCTGGGGTGACAGGCATGGGTATTAGGAATTTGAGTTCAGGTGCTTATTCTTGCTGAGAAAGCAGAGTTAACTCGCCAGCCCTAGCCCTGACTTTTTGATTGCTCAAGACAGGGTTTTTCTGTGTAGTAGCATTGGCTGTCCTAGAACTCACTTTATAGACCAGGCTGGCCCTAAACTCAGATATCCGCCTGCCTCTGCCTCCTGAGTACTAGGACTTTTTTAAATATGTGTTCTGGGGATCAAACTCAGATCTTCATGCTTGCACAGAACTTAACCAACTAAACTATCTCCCTAGATCCTCACAAAAGATTTTTATTTCTCACAACCTAGATGGCCCTCAAGTGAAGAATGGATAAATAAAATGTGGTACATATACACAATGGAGTACTACTCAGCAGAGAAAAAACAATGACATGAAATTTGCAGGCAAATGGATGGAACTAGAAAATATCCTGAGTGAGGTAGCCCAGACTCAGACAGACAAACATGGTGTGCACTCACACATGAGTGGATATTAGATGTAAAGCAAAGGATAACCAGACTGAAACCCACAGCTTCAAGGAGACTAGCTAGCATGGAGGACCCTAAAATGGATGCATGGATTGCCCAGCAAAGGAGAAATAGATGAGCTCTACATGAGCATACTAGGGGTGAGGAGGGCTAATGGAGGGCAAGGGATGGGGGATGAGAACATAGGGGAACAGGAGGTTCCAGGTGGAACAGTGACAGAGTGGGAGAGCAAGGAAAGAGATACCATGATAAATGAAGACATCATGGGAATAGGGAGAAACAGAGTGCTAGGGAAGTTCCCAGGAATCCACAAGGATGACCCCACCTTAGACTACTGGCAATAGTTGAGAGAGTGCCTGAACTGGCCTACTCTGGTGATCAGATGGGTGAATATCCTAACTGTCATCATAGAACCTTCATCCAGGGACTGATGGAAGCAGATGCAGAGATCCACAGCTGGGTGTCAGGCTGAGCTCCAAGAGTCCAATCAATGAGAGAGAGGAGGGAGTCTATAAGCAAGGGACATCGAGATCATGATGGGAAAATGTACAGAGATAGCTAGCCAAACTAGTGGAAATGTATGAACTGTGGACCAATAGCTGAGAAGCTCCATAGTACTGGACCTCTGGATAGGTGAGGCAGTTGTTTAGCTTAAACTGTTTAGGGGGCCCCCAGGCAGTGGGATGAGCTGGCTTTTTGGAGCCTGGTGCCTATGGTGAGACATTTTGCTCAGTCTTGGTGCAGGGAGGAGGGGCTTGGACCTGCCTCAAATGAATGTACCAGGCTCTGCTGACTCCCCATGGGAGACCTTGCCTTGGAGGAGGTGGGAATGGGGGGTGGGTTGGAGGGAAGACTGGGGGGCAGGAGGAGGGAGGAGAGAAGAATCTGTAAAAGTTATTATTAATTTATTATTTATAATTATTACTAATTATAATTTATATATTTATATAATTTATATATTGATATATTGATATAATTTATATATTTATAATTTATATTTATAATTATTTATAATTGTTATTAGTAATAATAAATTGTAGCACAATAATTGCTCAATTTTAAAAAAAAAGAAAAAAAAGATTTTTATTTCTCACTATCTCAGAAGCACAATTCTGTAGACAAATAAATATGGTCTATAGATATGTTTATGTTTCTCTAAATTAGTGCTTGTGAATGGGGGTGTGCCTATAACTGAACTATGTATGTACAGACCTTTGCCCTGGGGGACCAGTTGGTGTATCATCCCTATGCACTGCAAGGAACACTAAAGACTTCTTTCAAGCACCTTTACTCTGAGAAGCCGTTCCAATATCTCATCCCTCAGGACTCCCAATGCAATGTTTGTGACCTTAGACATGCATAAAGGGAGGTGACTCAAACTGTAGCCTGTGTCTACTACAGGTGCTAAAAGGATCAATACAGCCTTGCAATGCAAACTGAGACATACTTTCCTGCAGCTGGAGCATCACTTCAAAGTGTGTCAGAAGTGCAGAGCACAGAGGGACAGGAGAGACGGTTCAGCAGTTGAGCACTTGCTACTCTTATAGAGGACCCTAGTTTGGTTCCCAGCACCTACTTTAGGCAGTTCACAACTGTCTGGAACTCCAGCTTCAGAGGATCGGATGCCCTCTTCTGGCCTCCATTGGCACTACAGTCATATCTATAAATTCTCTCTCTCTCTCTCTCTCTCTCTCTCTCTCTCTCTCTCTCTCTCTCTCTCTCTCTCTCGTGTGTGCATGCACACACACACACACACACACACACATAATTTAAAATAAACCAAAGATGTTCTAAATGTGTGGTTTTAAATGCAGATGAGGCTAGGGGGATGGTTCAGTCAGGAAACTGCCTGCTGTGCAAGCATGGGGAACTGAGTTCCATCCCCTGCATCCATGGGAAAAGCCAGGTGTGGCAGCATGTACTGATAACCTCAGTGTTGGGGTTGGAGAGAATAAGAAAGCCTCTATGATTCTGGCCAAATCAGTGAGGTCAAGGTTCAATGAGAAAGCTTGGCAAAAATAAATAGAGAGACAGTCAGACAGACAGATAGATAGACAAACAAACAAAGTTGTGAGTGATTGAGGAAGACACCATCCACATCAAGTCTGGCACATAGACGTGCACACACATACACAAAGTGCAAGGTGTGGTGGCTCAAATTTGTAACCTCACACTCAAGACAACAAGGCAGGAGGATTGTGAGCTGGAGGCCAGCCTGGGCTACATTCAAAAACTTGCTGACCGAGGGGAAAAGCAGAATCTCAGAAGCCACCTCCAACCTACAAAATCAAAAGCTTCATTTTTAAACCAAGCTGCAGCTGAGTCCCATGCATATTCAAGCGGAGGACACATGACCCCTTTTATAACAGCTCACAGCTCAACAGTTTTGTAAGCTGAGTCCTCTGCTTGATTCTCCAAACAGACTTCTTTGGTAAAACTTGGTTGGTTTCTTGTTTTTCAACCACTTGCAAAGTTAAGCTACTAAATCACCTATGTAAACCATGATTAATTCCTTTGACATTAA